ACACCTGATTTGAGGAATAAGGTTGGGGTTATAGCCACCCCCACCTCACTCCCGAGGCAGCTCAGATGATACATACCATTCTGAGGGGCATTTCCTTAACAGACATATTGTAAGATGATTTATCATAGTATATGCTTGCCTTTCTCCATTACTATGTTAATTAGTAGTGCTTTTCTTACAAAAGGGCTGCTTCAGCCAATCTATTGATTGTTTACTGTTGTAGGTAAGTAATTGGGGATAGCCAGATTTCTATAATCATAATGGGAAGCAATATAAATTACAGGTGAAACTCAAAAAATTAGAATATCGTGCAAAAGTTCATTTATTTCAGTAATGCAGCTTAAAAGGTGAAACTAATATATGAGATAAGACTCATTACATGCAAAGCAAGATAGTTCAAGCCGTGATGTGTCATAATTGTAATGATTATGGCTTACAGCTCATGAAAACCCAAATCCACAATCTCAGAAAATTAGAATATTGTGAAAAGGTGCAAAATTCTAGGCTCAAAGTGTCCCACTCTAATCAGCTAATTAAGCCATAACACCTGCAAAGGGTTTCTGAGCCTTTAAATGGTCTCTCAGTCTGGCTCAGTAGGAATCACAATCATGGGAAAGACAGCTGACCTGACAGTTGTGCAAAAAACCATCATTGACACTCTCCTTAAGGAAGGAAAGCCTCAAAAGGTAATTACAAAAGAAGTTGTATGTTCCCAAAGAGCTGTATCAAAGCACATTAATGGAAAGTTATGTGGAAGGGAAAAGTGTGGAAGAAAAAGGTGCACAAGCAGCAGGGATGAACGCAGCCTGGAGAGGATTGTCAGGAAAAGGCCATTCAAAAGTGTTGGAGACTTTCACAAGGAGTGGACTGAGGCTGGAGTCTGTGCATCAAGAGCCACCACACACAGACAGATCCTGGACATGGGCTTCAAATGCCATATTCCTCTTGTCAAGCTGCTCCCAAACAACATCAGAAGCTTCTTACCTGGGCTAAAGAAAAACAGACCTGGTCTGTTGCTCAGTGGTCCAAAGTCCTCTTTTCTGATGAGAGCAACTTTTGCATCTCATTTGGAAACCAAGGACCCAGAGTATGGAGAAAGAATGGAGAGGCACACACTGCAAGATGCTTGAAGTCCAGTGTGAAGTTTCCACAGTCTGTGTTGATTTGGGGAGCCATGTCATCTGCTGGTGTTGTTCCACTGTGCTTCATTAAGTCCAGGGTCAACGCAGCTGTCTACCAGGAGATTTTGGAGCACTTCATGCTTCCTTCCACAAACGAGCTTTATGGGGATGCTGACTTCATTTTCCAGCAGGACTTGGCACCTGCCCACACTGCCAAAAGCACCAAAACCTGATTCAATGACCGTGGGATTACTGTGCTTGATTGGCCAGCAAACTTGCCTGACCTGAACCCCATAGAGAATCTATGGGGCATTACCAAGAGAAAGATGAGAGACATGAGACCGAACAATACAGAAGAGCTGAAGGCTGCTATTGAAGCATCCTGGTCTTCCATAGCAGTGCCACAGGCTGATAGCTTCCATGCCACACTGCATTGAGGCAGTAATTGCTGCCAAAGGGGCCCAAACCAAGTTCTGAGTACATATGCATGCTTATGTCAGCTCTGGCCAGCTCAGAGGCCTGGAGCTGCCATTCAGGGGGGAGAAGACTGGGCCAGCTGCCAAGACTCACCGTCTCACCTACACAAACTGAAGAAAAGCATGCTAACAATCCATGATTAATTGCCAGGTGGTTTCGTTCTGGGTTACAAAGCCAAGGACCCAGACTGTGGGGGCAATTTGCTGACTCAATTTGCTAAAAATCTGTAAACCACTTAGAGAGGGCTGAAAGTCCTATGAAGCGGTATATAAGTCTAATAAATAAATAAATAAACATGGAGAGCTCCTGAAGCTCAGCCCGGACTTTTGTTTTCTATATATGGACATAACAAAAAGCCCATATGCTATTTATCAGAGCTACCTTTTGGATCCACTGAATCTTTTTTGTTGGTATTTTGTTTAACTTGCTATGCAAGAAAGATGGCAAAAGTATGGCCAGGCTTGGGCACCACTGATGTAAGGAAGAATGACGATCTTGAATGGGAATTTTTCCCCCAAACCCTGAATGTAGACTCTTCTCAAGTTTCTGGCAAGTTCTTATTAAGTCTGTCAGCGATATCATTTCAAGTGTTCCTAATTATACCAGTGGGGCTAAGGGCCATTGTTTCTCGATCAGTCCCTTTCAGTCATAGACTTCTTTGGAAGTCTTTCTTTGATGCTAATAATGTACCCTAGGAACTCGTAGTACTTTGTTGCTAGAATTATGTTGCCAATGAAAAGCAGCAATGCAGAGTTTGTAAATAGCAGTTAGCAGTTAGCAGTTAGACTTATATACCGCTTCATAGGGCTTTCAGCCCTCTCTAAGCGGTTTACAGAGTCAGCATATCACCCCCACAGTCTGGGTCCTCATTTCACCCACCTCGGAAGGATGGAAGGCTGAGTCAACCTTGAGCCGGTGAGATTTGAACCGCTGAACTGCAGATAACAGTCAGCTGAAGTGGTCTGCACTACTGCACACTAACCACTGCGCCACCTCGGCTCAATTAATATTATATTAATTATTATATATCAATTAATATTATTATATAAAATTAATATTATTAAACTTTCTGCTATCGTATTTATTTTATTTCATCAATCAAACAACAGGTAGGAGTTAATTTCTTAACTAGAAGGTTATAGCGGCACAGTTCAAACATTATGCTAATCTAAAAATGAACAAGCCATGTTATGTATGAATTCTGCCAGTCTGTCATATAGAGAGCATTCATTTCCCCGATCTTGTAACCATCCCCATAAAATTTCTTTTTCCATATGCAAATGATTTAGATTAAGTTTACTGGGTTCTTAGAGCATTACAATTGCATTCAACAATCCCATTATCAGGAATAACCAGAAGCATAATAAACTCCCAGTGAAGAGCAATGTGAGAGAGGTAGGAGGGAGTATTGAGCCCCATCAAATATTCATAAGATCCTTTTGTGGACACAGAACTAAAAGGCAGGGGTTCATATAAAAAATAAGAATATTTAATCCATTTTATTTAGAAAGATGGAAAAACAATGTAATTTGCAGCCCCCTGCTTCTTGTGGGATAGTTCTTGAATGTGACTTGGAAACATTGATTTTTTATTGATTTTGTGTCAACTCAGAGTCCACTAGCATAAACTGAGGGAAAATTACTCTCTGTTATATCAGTTTTATGAATTTGTTTCCAAGTCCAGTTCAGGTATTATTATCTTTAAAGCTCTTCACACTTTAAATCTTAAGAGATCCACATTGTAACATTACATAATTGAAATTGACTCCCTAAGTCTTCCAGGGAGGTTTTCTTCCTTGCCTCTCTACCAAGAGAAGTATAATTTCCAGCTATATGATTAACAGCCATGGCCATGCTTTGGAATGCTCTGTCAAAGATAGATTTATTCAGCCTCCTCTCTGATTAATCTGAGCCCCCCTGATGGCATTCTGGTTTCATAGGGCAATTTCACTCTGGATTAACTGGTCCTAGTGCTATTGAAGGATATGTCCCTGGGCATCTTTTTATTAACAAAGGGGCTGTTGATCCCAAAACATCCAATTTGGATGAGGGGGCTATTTCTAGAGGGAACACCCACAGTGGTACAGATATATCCATGGAGCTTTCTCTGTGCTGAGACAGGAAAATATGTGCCAGAAGGAATGAAGCGTTTATTAATTATGTGGTTCTTTGCTAGGAAAACAGATCTAACACTTCCTCATAACTTCCTTCCAATGGTCATCCAAGATGGTTCTTTCTTGTAATGTTAACTCTTTCTGCTGTATAATTATGGAGCATATGTCTCACATAAATGCAAATTGTAAAGCCCTAAACAGAAGGATTAAACAGTTATGTTTTACTATTTCATTATACTAATGCTAAAATTAGTGTTTTTTTCCTGATGCATCAAATTCTCCCAATAAAATAAATAGATTAATTGTTAAGAGTTAGATAGACTTATTAATATATCGATTTCTATATTTTGACATCTTTGGTCTGTAGCGTTTAATCTGATTTTTTTTCTGCTCATTTTTGACATGCTACTTAATCTGTGGTAGTTTTATTTAATGAACTGGTTTCTCTGCTCTTTGCTCTGGATATTTCAAGGTTTTTATGGTTCTTTGTTCTATTATTTTCCTTACCTGCATTGGGTGGAATATTAAAACCAAAAAGAAATCATATATCCAGTTCCCACAGACCAACACCAACTGGAAGAGCTGGACTCCAGATCCCATTATTCCCAGCGAGCATGCACATTGACAGATACCTGTGACTGGTTTCAGCTCATCCCTCCAAAGGGCTTCAGGCTGGGGGTGAACTTTATATGTAAAGGTAGAACATTCAACCTACAACTGAAAGCATCCAGACCAAAATGTGAATGTGTGTCATGTTTATTGTGTAGAGGCAGGATGGAGGATTACGGCCCAATGCTACCATCACTGAGAAAGACTTCATCGTATTTTGATCTTATTTCCATCCCCATATCCCATGTCATTTATCTTAAGAAGCCAAGAAAGTTCATCATCATCACTGACAAACCTTTGAAATGACTGTGGCTTTTGCTCTGACTTTTCCAGGGTTGAATTAGCACTTATCTGATAAAAGGACCTCCGTTTCCCCTTAGTAGGAATGAATATTATGTAGATCCCTGCCCCGACCTCCTTGAATAAGTTAATTTACCTTTCCCTCCTCCCCATCAATAACATCAGCAGCCTGTGAAGTGATTTGTTTGCCTGTCAAAGGCAGCTTTTCCTCATCGTAACCACCCTCTCCAGTTTCTCTTTCGCCCTCCCCATCTCTGGCTTCCCCGCCATCTTTTATGGCCGTTGCCATGGCACCCAGGGAGAGCTAAGCACCGCAGCAGGGAAGGGGAGGAGGCGGCCCGTGCTGCAATTTCCAGTCTGTTTCCGTCCTCCCTGAGCTCATCACCCTCTTCCTCCTCCTCTTCCTCCTCCTCCTCCAAGGAGGGAGGTGGCCGAGGATCTGGCTCTTGCTGCTGGGTGGGTAGATTCCCTCCTCAGCCGAAGGAAAGGGAGGGGGAGCATCTGCTGATGGTTTGCTGGGAAGCAGCCTTGGTGGAGGGGGAAATGGATCCAGATCGCCCCTCCCTCACCTTTCAGCGTCTCTTCTTGGCTTCACCCCGGTGAGTATCAGCCATCAGCCCCTCCTGGCACCCTTGCTGCTTTTTCCTGCAGCTGCCATCACCCGAGTCTAAGGGCCCTGGATGTTGCAGTTCTTCTGGGTGTTAGCATCTTCCCCTCGGAACAATGACTTTCATCTAAGCTGCTGGAAAGGAGGAGAGGAAGAAAAAGGGGAGGGGATGTGGTGTGAGAGGGAAGGAAAAGGAAGATGGAGAGGGATGAAGGCTGCTGACAAGCTGTCTGGTAAAGCTGAATTGTGAGTATCCACAGGCAGATGGAGAGGATGCTGTTGTTTACCCTTTCTGTTGAAAAATGAGATGCTTGGCGAGTGCCTGTCAGTTTGGGAATGCAGACATTTCTGAGATGGGTTTTCATTCCTGCTTTAATTCCCTGACTGTTGGGCTGGGCCTCTGCGAAGTACAATTTGCTGGCAGCAGAGATAGCCATAAGCTAGCAGTCGATTGCATCCATGATTGATTTGTGGGTATAGTGTGTGCTGGATGGCTAAGTGTATTAAATCCATGAAGTGCATTGCCAAAAGATTTGGGTGGGATGCACTTTCTGCATAAGGATCCATACCTGCATGTGTATGTGAGCCACACACACCTGGATCTCTTTGTAGTATCTACATATGAGTGTATTTAAAGCCGTGATGGACTGACAATGCATTCCACTTGGGCTGATAGAAGGAATTGATAGTGCCTTGGTTTCATTTCAGCCACAAAGGACAGATCTATATTGTACATTCGGTACCATGTACAGCACTAATTCACAGCCTCTGTTTCTTGACCGTCATGTCTATTCTATTGCCTTCATGTCCAGCTCAAAGATTTCCCATAGGCATCTGATTAGCCGTTAGGGAAAAGAGCATTCTTAGTAAGAGAGCTTTCACTTGATGCCCTTTACGGAAATACTAAGGTACTAAATATTAATGCAATTGAGTTGGGTTTTTTTTAGGCAAAGTGTAACATCTATCCATATCTAATTGCCCACCATTTTGATATCCCAAATCTAATTCCCAAGAATCAGATAATTCTTTTTTGCAGATTCTCTTTTCCACTGTTTAGGTTAAATACTATCTGAATATATGCATCTTCCTCAAGTTTACAAAGTAGCTTAGTATGTAAGAATCATTAATTTGAATGAATAATTTTTTGTTTTGATCATAATCAATTATATATTGTAACTACTGTCACTGGGTCAGTTTCTCATTCTTGTTTTGATAACAAAAATGAATCTAAATGTCAGCATTAAACTAATGCCATGTGAATTTAAAGTATTAAGGTAGAATTAATTTAACAAGTAGCTCCAAGATGTATGACAATATAGATTTCAGATTGTATAGAGACAAATTTCTGAAAAAGCAAGGGTACATATCCATAATTAATTTTATACACACTCTCACACATATACATATGCACATATGCATATTCACCTACACACACACACACACACACACACACACACACACTTTCTATAAAAATATAGTACAAGATTTTCTAGAGATTTATTATATGCATCTTTTAACTAAATCAACATAGATTTATTTATTGATTTGATTTATAGCCTCCCTTTCAAGGTGACATATGTGATGGAAATTCCATGACAATACACACTGTAGTATACCCTCCCCCTATATTTTTCCTACAGCAGCAATCCCATGAGGCAAGTTAGGTAGAGAGACAGCTATCATCCCAAAGCTACTCAGGAGGTCTCAGTATCTGAAGGTGGTGCTGACCTATGGCCTCTCCATTGCTAATATAACATCTTAAGCATCTTGTACAGGTGCTTTAATCTGAAATTCAAGGTGCAAGTGAGTGGGGGACCCTAATATCATTATACAATGGGTGTCTTGTAATATTACTGTCCTTTATCCAGGTGATAGGTGGTCCATTGGGCTGAGAGAATGAATATATGTGATTGGCTCTAAAATATTTAGTAAGCCAATATTAGAACCTGGTTTTACCCAGTGTTAATCAGCATCATATTTAATACATTGACTCAAAACCTACTCTAAAAGAAGTCCAAGCAGTATCTTGATTCAAGAAGGATATATTTGGCAGATGAATCTAAGATTGGCTTAGAAAGTCAGTTTATTAAAATAACATTCCTTTGTTGTCAGTGATGTAGTGAATGCTCTAATGGACCACTGAGCTTGCAGAGGAGAACCATGTTAGGCAGTGAATGAATATGGTGAAATATGATCAGAAAATCTTCTCTCTGGACCATGAACCTTTATGCAATACACTATGTTTGTAAGAATGTCCTTTAAAATGGAAAGTGTGAAAATGACAGTCACAGCCAAGGGATCATTTACATGTGCACATTGTACAAAGAAGTCCAATAGACAGTCAGGACTGGCTTATGTAGCTGGTAAGTAAAGATAGATTTATTGCACTCCCTACCGAGGGCAGGAATGAAGCTCATGCTGGAAAGGCATAATAAAGGGAAGACAGGTTTCCGTCATATACTAAAGTTTGGGTCCAATTTTCCTCTGATTGGAAGTAACTGGAAACATACACACATGGGGACACACACACACACACACAGAGGGAGAGCGAGAGCAAGAGAGAGAGAGAGAGAAAGAGAGAGAGAATTAATGTAACTATATAATAAATTTCCTGTAAAATGTGATTATGGGGGAAATGTGATTGTTCCTCCACTGTTATAGGGTGGAATATGATTCCATCTATGCAACAATATCTAACACCTGTTGTTTGCATTGTGATTGATATGTTTGTGATAAGACTAGATGTCATTCTTCGTAGGTGCCCATGACAATGATGTTATTGCAACCAGTGGCCACCAACTTTTACTCACCAAATCAATAGGCTGTAGCTCAATGTTACTGTGCTACCAGGTACTATTGGGAACCAAAGACCTGTTCAATTGCGATTGGTACCCGGCCCTCTTTACTACAACACTGCAGAAGAAACAATATGGTGGTTGGCCAATGCCACACATCCAAATGTCCACTCAGCAACCAGCCCATTAGAGTATCCATGATTGCAATCTTTCCTGAGGAATTCATATTACTGCTAGGGAAAGCGGTTCCCATGTAGGCAGGGAAAGTGTAGCGAGTTAAATGTGTGATGGAACCAAGGCAAATGTCAGCTTTTAGTGAGGTCTCCTGGGTCATAGAGGCCCTTGCAGCTGTTCATCATAAATGCTAATTCTAACCTGAAATTGGCTGGATGTGACTGTGTGTTGCTTCAGCTGTAATTAAAACAATATTTTGTAAGAGACGAAGCAAAAGAATGACATGAACTTCTTTTTTAACATTTGAAGGGCATCTTCAAGAATCAAGAATCACAATCACTTGGACAGCTCTATAAAAGACAGACAGACAGACAGACAGACACAGACAGACAGACAGACAATCTTGAACTGAAATTTTCCTGTTGTCCCAGATGCCCAAATAAAGCATAAGGTATAAAATGGCAGGAAATGGCAGCGGTAGCATTCCTTCTGTGTTCTTTCACATGGTTCTCTCAATGAATGCCATTGCCATTGTTACTTGGGATGTCCTTATAGATAAGCTTATGACTGTCATCTTTTTGATGATCACATTTTGGGAAATAAATTTAACAGAAGAAAGAGGGAATGTGTTTTTTTCAACGACTGCAGAAAGTGACAACCAATGGATCTAGGATGAGGAATGGGCAACCTTTTCAGCAGCTCTTTACTTTTTTCAGGGACAAACTCCACAGTGGCAAAAGAAACAATACAATTAGATTCAGTCATTGGGGAACATCTGATATTTTATGGGTCTGGGGATACATTAAGCCTGAGTGAAGAATTATAGTACATTAAAAAATTGGCAAGAAACCACAACATTATTTTTTTAAGTCATTGTACACCAAAATACAATGGCACACCAAGAAAGGACTCTTGTGGCTACTAGAGGCCTGCAGGTTATAATAGATCAAGGGATGCAATTCCCTCCCCCAGGGAAAAAAATGCAAAATGTAAAGTTCAGAACCCAGCCAGACTTCATATAGGAGTATTAAGATGGCTTAACAGCATCACCTGTTGCAGCCAAACTGAACCTTTGTCAACAGCAAAACAAAAAACCCTGATGCATTTAATGGAGTAAACCTTTACTTTTTGAAGTTGTAAAATTAAAATGCATGTACCAAGCAGATTAATTGAATTTTAAAAAATTAATATCTGTTTCTCCTTTCCCTCCCCACCCCCTTACCATCTTTTATGCACGAACTGGCATTTCTAGTTAAGACGGAGGGATAAAGTCACCTTGGCTATTCTACCCATAACAAGGTTTCTCCTGTATACATCTGTACATACCCAGTGCATATTACAAATTAGCATTTATTATTGTGGTTCCTTTAGTCCATCATAGAACCATAGTTCTTTTTCCAAGAGTCTCCAAATGTGGACAATATATTTGATTTGCTTTTGTCTCTGTGGAACAGGGGGGAAAATCCATCTGGTTAAAAAAGATGTATAAAATATGTTTTCTTTCTTTACTGCTAAGATGGGCAGGCATGTAATTCCAATAAAGAAATAAAATTGTTAAGACTATGATTTATTAGGGGAAACATGCTATATATCAACTTTAAAGAAACCAAATTCTAGAAAGGTTAAATTCAAGTCTTGAAAATATATGTAACATGACTAAGAAAATCAGCCTCAAAATAACAACCAATCTTTTAAGGCCCATCTGGGCATTTTATTTCATTAGGCACTGAGTAACATTACCTCTTTACAATTTTGTTTATGAAATTGCTCTGCTTTACTGTAAGTCATGCGAGCTCATATTTTTGCCATGGAAAATACAATATCAGAAAAATGGCAAGAAATCAATAAACCAAACTCTCCCATATGCCCACAAATATTCTACCCCATTTTGTAGTAATTCATATACTGCAGCATATTGGATATGCTATAACTGAATAATTCTTAATGATTTTCACCATTTTTATGTATTAGTAATGTACCAGTTTTATTTACCTATAATGTACACTCATGCCAGTTCCTACAT